AATAACCTTTCAATGAAACGTGGGCAGGCACATTCCTCTCTGGGTTGCCAAGCATCTGTCCTCGCACTGCAAACAACCTGCAGCCTTATACAGTTATTTGCACTGGTTTATTGGTCACACTTTCACAGGAAAAAAACCTGCAGGTTGGTGCTTGCCCCTGGCCCTGCTGAGGGTGAGAGCTGCGGGAAACGAAGCCGACACCTCTGTTGCAGGCGTGGGCAACTTGTATTTGCTACATTTGATCCACTCATTAGGTGAAAAGAGGTAATATCTGTTTTGACATCCTGGTGCATTTATTTCTTTGCTCCATTCGCACTGCTTCTCAGATTTTACCTTTTGCCAGTGCCCTTTTAGGTTTATTTATTTTAGGAAGCATAAACTGCATCATAAACACTCCTGACTTTGTAAATAATTTTGATGACAGGATTTTCTCTTAGGGACTTGATAATGGCATATTATACATTTTAGGCTAACTATGAGATTTGCCTTGTGTTGTCAGGAGCAATGTAATAAAAGGTACTACCTCAATTGTCATTAAAATCCTGTTACATTTCACTTATGCTTATCTAGTTTCCCTTAGCCCTGCTGGTTAGAAAAGGCAAAAAATCTATGCATCTGTCTGTCTGGATATTGTCAAGTCACGCCGTGTGCCTAGTCTGAATAAAGGCACTGTCACAGGTCCTGTAATCAGTATCAAGGCAGTAATAAATAGGAAACCCTTGTGATGATGATCACGATTAACAAAAGGAAGTGTAAATAATCTACAGTGCCTAAAGCTCACTTTTTTGCAGAGTGGATTTGCAAGTGAGCTATAAACCTGATCCTTTTCTTATTGAGGTCAGCAGCAAAACTCCTGCTAATCCCAGCTGAAACAAAATCATTCTGCCAGCTTGATGTTTATAGAAATGCATATTACCTTCACGTAGATGTTATCCCGCTACGGCTTTTTGTATTACAGCCTGCAACTTCATTTAAGGCAAACATGACCTGAGGAATGAAATCTCACTCAAATCAAATCAAAAACTGTTATTCTCAAATAGCTAACAATAAATTTTGTCAAGTAATTTATCGACAAATGTTTAATACTCACAGATCCATAAAGAATCAGTAAATCCAGGGAGGGAAAGGCTGGGCACATCTGAGCACTTGTACTGGGAAGGAGCTGGCAGTGACTCTCTGGTGCCAAGCCTGATAAAGGTGCACCTTTGGGGCATTATTCCCTTTTACAATAAGACTCTGTGTGTGAATGTTAAACTTCCTGGAGTTATTTTACACTTCTTTGCAAATAGCCAAGTAGTGTGGAAGTTGTGTGGGAGTGGAGTAACCAGGATTGCATTTTTGTAGGAAATGGCTTTTCAGAGGAGATGGGTGAATTTTTCCTGCAGGCTGTGGAATTGCATACTAAAGGAAGAGCTTGTGCTTCCTCCCCCCACTTTCTTATTTTTCCCTTTTTTTTCCCCCCATCTAAATGTAGTGCTGGGCCTCAGGAGGCCCATGAACACACAGAGCTTCCTACTGAGGTTGTCACTTGACTGACAGCAAAAAGCTTCTGGGGAGATGGACGAGCATGAGTGGGTGGACATAGAAAAATGGAGAATGAAAGGATAAAGTAAAAATATAACTGAACGTTCATCCAAAGTCACACCCCTTTCAGGGGCTGTAAGGTATTTAAATTACAAATGTTGTGTTTATGATTGGGAAAAATGCAAAGCAACTCTATCTATATAAGTGTATGTGTGTGAGAGACATTTGATATCCATTCAGAAATGCTCAGAAATGTTAAAAATTATATTAACTACAGAGATACATCCAAGATAACCCCCTTGTGTCAATGCCCAATTATTTGTATATTAATATATTCCCTCGGTGTTTTAAAATAAGAGGAAAACAAATTGTGAGTGAGTGGAAAATATAACATTTCAGTCCTTACATTTCAAGATGATTTACAGTTTCTCAAAAGCTCTGCGTTTGTGTGTTCAAGTGCCTGTTTGTCTGTACCACTCGAGTCCTGTAAACAGATCTCTGAATAATTCGGCTGGGGTTGACGTCTATGAAGCAGACAGGATCAAACATTTAACACATTGCCATAATTATTTCAGTGTCTGCTGCAAGTGAATACAGTTTCACTGAGGAGCTGAGACAAATACAGGAGCTGAGACAAACATCAGAGGCGCTGGCTGTGCTTTTTCGAGCTGCATTAAATTGACCGTTCAAATGGTGTAAACTTGATGATGGTACAAACATGATTAGTTCCCATCAAAGACAAATCACTCCTGATAGTGAGTTACAATAACATAACTTGGCAGGTTGGCAGCAGCGCAGGTAATAGGCAGTCAAGAAAAATATAACAGCTCCGACAGCTGTAACAAAATTTTAAGGAATAAATTTTGATGTCAGGTACTTTGTTGAAGGGTGGGGTTACTGGCTGAAGCTGAGAACAGGATTTAGTCCAAGTATCGATGACATCTGTTAAAACCAAGCTGGATTTTTACAATTCGTTGAAATGACACAAAGTAAGGAAATTGTGATTATTTTGGCAAGACTTCTTAAAAAAACCCGCCACATACTGGAGCCAAAATACAGTGGATTTGGTAGAATTGCAAACATTTTATTTTATGACATTTGCAGGCCTTTTTTACATTGTCTGTGTTTATTTTACGTTTTTTTTTAACAAATTAAAATTGTATTAAATTATAGAAATATTTTTAAGGTTTCAAAGCATTTTATATATTTTTAATGATGACTGACTTTTCTGGCATTGCCACAAAAATAACTTCAATTAAAAAAAGAGGACGTTTTGATGCTCCACCATTCCCATAAAGTTTACTCTGACTTGTAGTAGATCTGTCAGATGCATCAAAGATGTGAAAAGAAGAAGACTCAGATTGCTTTAATTGAGGGTTGCCTATATTTTTGTGTAAATAATAAAAAAGGAACTAAATCTTTTCTTCCTCCTCATTAGGCCAAGAATTCTTGTAGATAATTAAAGTCAGGAAGTACAAGTTTTAACAGTTGCATTGACTGTGCAGCACTGTTTTCTAACTCCCATTATCCAAGCTGCTGCTTAAAAGATTTATTTTCCACGGAAAAAGAAAAGCACACCAGCTATCTCAGCTATCTTTGCAGGGTTATCTTTAAGGTTCTGCCAGTGGGAGCTCCAAAAGAAATGTTCAAGGCAAGGGAAAACAAACTGAGACGCATACTATAGGAACCTCATTGTAAATACTGTGTTAATAAACCTTCTTAAAGCAGTTTTAAAAGCCATAAAATGCATCCTCCCTAGATCTTGATCTGAAATTAAACCACGTGAAAGATACTCTGTATTTTTAAGAAAAAAAGTGCATTTGTAAGTATTACGCTTTACAGAGATTTGAATTTGGGAAAAAGTAGAATGATTTAAAGAGAAAACAGCTGATTCTCGGCAGATGTGTTTCCTGATGCACAGGATTGTTAGTCAAACTTTAAGATGCACTCAAAGTATATTTTTAACTAATCGAGTTTGTACAGGGGTTCTGTGCAGAACCTAAAGCTAACAGTGACAAGGATTCGTTTTATCCCAGAAGGGGTCTGGGTGCGATTCCCCAATTCTGGGGTGCAGCCGGGGAAGTTGCGTCCCGCACGGGGTGAGGGGAGTACCAGGGGTACCGGGGAGTGCCGAGAGGGCGCTGCGGGGGCGAGGGAGCAGCACCCACTGGTGAAGGAGGGGGGGAGTGTTACCGCCGCGCTAATCTGCGGGAAACTGAGCTGCGCTTGGGAGTGCGGGTGGGTTCAGCGCCTGGGGCGGGAGGCGCTGCGGGAACCGCCACTCCTGGAGCTTCCCGAGGCATTGGCAGCGGTACTGATAGCGGCGGTGGGTCAGAGCCTCGCGAGGCGGGAAGAAGGGGGAGCTGCTCGGTTTCCCCGGTCCCGCAGCGCTGCCCCTGGAGGACGGACGGACAGACAGACAGGCAGGTCCGGAGGCAGTTCTGTCAGTACAGACTGTTCAAGGACGATGCTCAGCCCACTGACGCTGCCTGACCCACCCAGGGCTTAGCGGGCTCCTAAAACCTACGATTTTGTTGTAAATACTTAGTTAGAGAGTATTTTTTAAAGAGTCAGGTGGTCGGAGCGCTCGAAGCAAAGCGGGGCTGTGGCTGCACAGCGCCGGTTCCAGGGAACAGCCAAAGGCATCGGCCACCACAGGTGTCCCGGGGCACGGCGCTGCCTCGGATGGACGCGTCCCAGGTGTGGACGAGCCTGTGCGTCCCGATGGATCTTGGCGTTCAGAGGGAATCGCTCCGAACCCGTAGCTTTCCCACCACCCCATCCAGCCCTGGCCGCTGCCCCGGTGCATAAAAGCGACAACGACTGGCATTTCGCGGTGAACTGGGCGGGGGAGGGGGGGGGACACCGTCCTCCCGTCCGCCGCCGCTACGGCCGAGGGAGTGCCGCCGAGGGCTGTCGCCGCTCCGCCCGGCCCTCCCCGGCCCCGGGGGAGCCGCTGCCGGCGGGAGCAGCCGCCGCCCGCCCGCCGGGCCCGGCGCCCGCACCCG